AATATCTTCAATTAATTTTTTTTTATTAATTGAAATTTTTTTATATTATATCTTTTTTTATATATTTTATATCTATTTTATATTATCTTAAATTTTTACATAAAATAATTAATAAATTTTATTTCTTAGAAATTAAATTTTTATAACATTAAAAAAAGAAAGTAAAAGAATAAAAAAATAATTATAAAAATATTTTATAATTATTGTAATAAAAATTTTTTTCTTAAAATATTTTTGAATTAATATATACTCCATATTGAATTTTTCATTTAAACCATTAAATTTTTGAAAAAATTTATTGCAAAATCATATATATTCTTTTTTTTTTTTGCATTTTAAATATTACCTTTTTTTTCGATAATTATGATTTTTGCAATATTATAAATATAATTTTTAATAAATCTTATATATGTAAAAAAATCTATTATTCATGATAATATAAGAGGTATATATATGATCTACATATATATGATCTAATTGAAACAAAAAAACAAAAATCCGGAAGTATTAAATATATAATAGCAAATGAAAATTTAAAATAACTATCTTCTTTGAAAGGAGGGGAAAGAGAAAGACGCGCGCGCACACAGATATAAAACAAAAATTATATGCTATATTACATATATTAAGTAACTAACAATTCATATAGAAAAACTGAATATATATATATATAATTAATCAACAAATTGTTTGATATTTAATCATTAAAGCTTTTACTTAATATTACATACTTATATATTCCTAAAATATTAATTAAAATTAGTTAATTAATCCAATAAGTTAATTAATTAATANCACAGTTTTTTTTCTATATATCTTCTTGCAAGTATTACAAACATTTTTTTATATTATAATTTATAATATAATATAAGTAGAATATATCACACAAATAAAAATAAACTACAAATTCTCATTTTATTTAATATATATGTTTCAATAATGTTTTTTGCTCTCTTTCTCTCTCTCTCTCTCGCGCGCACATGTTATCTATCTTTTCGCTTAGAAAAGAAAATAATATAATTTTTTGCTCTTTTCTTACTTCAATTTTTTATCACCAGTTCCATACGATGAACTACTACTTATTTTGGATATTCCTATTGTTTTTTGCATAAGTATATAAACTGAAAAAATTTGAAATTAAATATTAATGTTAACAATAGGAATAATTACATAAAACTATATCATTAAAATACTTACATAAAAAAATAGTACCAATTCCAATCGAAAAATAAATAGTCGAGCCAGATAGGAAAAGATTAATCAAATAATAAATCATTGGTACTACTACTATCACTGTCCAGCAAATTGTATTAATGAGTGAATAATATCTTCTCTTTAATGTAATTTTATCTACTTTGACTACTCCACTAGTTGCAAAAAAATCACCTGTTTTTTCGAAACTCTCTGCCATACGATCCTAAAAGAAAATAAGATAAATTTTATAACTAATTTTATTAATTTTAAATAAAATCATACTTTTTTTTCATAAAGTTTATGTAACCATTCTGCAGCAGCTTCTTGATCTTCTGGTATTTCTTTCATAGGAATTCTCTGCATATATATGTGCCCTAAAATCCGTTTTCCTAATAGCAAATTTGTTATTGTTGGTTTCACAGAATCACTTGATTTAAATTGCACTTGCATGTTATAAATTGCAGGTATTTTATCCCGCATATATGGTATGCTTGCTGTAAAACCTTTTGTTCGTGGTGTTAAATGGTATTTTAATATTGGAAGACCTTCTTTTTGGGCAAACTTTTGACTGGCTTCTAATTTTTGTGGTGTAATTCGTGTTCCCTCAGGACATAAAAGTAACTATGGAAATTATTTCAAATTATTTCAAAATTTTAAATTAATTTATCTAAAACCAAAAGCTCCAAAAGTTATGAGCTACAAATATATTATACTAAAAATTATAATAAAAATGTACAATTAAATAATAATTAAATTAGATATTAAACAAAAAATTTTAATTACCGATATATTATCTGGATAATTTCCAAATTCACGAATTTGAGAACGAATTATTTCTTTATCTTTCTCCCAATTTCTTTCCAAGAAAATATACTCAGAAAATTTCCATCCCCAACCTAATGTTGGAATATATTGTAATGATTTTTTTACATATGCTTTGCAATTCTGAAATATATAAAATTTCAATAAATAAATTTCAATAATAATAATAAAATATAATTGTAATTTATCTTTTTATTTATTTTTTATACAGAATTATTTATGATTCATATATCTGTAACTAACACCAAGTATTCCTTTACGTTCACACAGAACCCAACCAATAAGCCAATCTATTTCATAACTATGATTCATTAATATATATCCATGTTCTTCTCCAAAATGTTTTTCAAGATCATTTCTATCCATATACAATATAAAATCTGATCCAGACCACCATTCTATCAAAAAAACCAACTCTGAAAATTTAATACCAATTTAATAGTAAATTTAATGTAATATTAAAAAAATTCTTTTTCTTAATTTTTTTATTAAAATATTTTAATAATTAAAATATCAAAAATTTAAAAAAAAATAGTTTTAAAGAATTATATATTAAATTATTATATTTTATATTATTATTAATATATATATTTAATATATTATATATTAAATATAATTAAGTTAAAATAAAAATCAAAAAATTTAAAATAAGAATAGAATCTCAAAATAACAAACAAAATAACAAACTTACGAGTATAAAAAGAATAGCAAAGATAATAATTAATCTTGCGATAACAATATCTGGAAAAAGGTCTGAGACCAAAGTACAAAAAACATTGGAAGAAATTGGTTATCAAACCCGTAGTAAAAAATGTTATAGCAAATATCAGATGAATCACGGTGGACTGCTTCAACACTGATAATAATCCCATCTTCCACAATTTTTTGGATATAAATTTAATTTTAAGAATAAAGCATACATACATAAATATTTCTCATAAATATCAAATTCTAAAATCTGTAATAAAAGAATTAATAATGTATGTAAACTTATATAATATAAACTTAAATATTAATAATAATTCAATTGTGATTAATAAATTATTATTTCAATTTTTTTAATTCTTAATTAATCTTTAATTCTTATTATACATATATACTTAGATTGAAAAAAGAAATACAGAAATTTAAAGTTTTATTTTATCAAATATAATTATTTATATACAATAATCTTTAAAAAAAAACTATTTTAAATCTTATAAACATTAAAGAGTTTAATTATATATATTTATTTAATAGAATATATTTAATAAAATTATTATTATTTATATTTAATAAAATCAAATTTATTTAAAACAAATTATTTTTAAATTAAATAGTAATTAAAATTTTTATTTAATTAATTGTTTATAATATAAACATTTTTACAAAATAAAATTATTTTAAGAAATTAGGAAATTATTTTAATTTGGATACTATACAATTGCATAATTTAATATTATTGAAGATAAAAAAGATATTTATTCAATAAAAAGTACAATGAAAATCTTTTACAAAAATTTATAATATATAGTTTATAAAATAAAATTATAATTTCAATTAATTTTAGAAAAAAATATTTAAATTACTTAACAGATTCTTGTAATTCAACTCACCCAACTTAAATCATTTTTAAAATCTTATTCGTAAAATCCAGCTAGATATAATATATTTGTATAGTCACGAAGTGAAAACGTAGCGAAAAGTAATTGATCAGAAGAATATCAATTTTTAATTATTGAATTTATTAATAACATCATTAATATTTATGCGAAATTATATTATTGATATAGAGAATTACAATATTGTCTTATTAACAAACATATTTTTTTTCTCTACGAGGAATCCTCGTTAACAAAAGTAATGTTATCCCCACCATTTCCTGGAACTGGTTCAACGAAAGGAATATTCATGTTATTTTTTCCTTATCATCAATAATATCTAATAATAAGATAGTAATATATAAAAAATTAGAAAAATAAAACTTTTATATTCTTTATTTTATAATTATTAGATTATCTTATTCAAATTTATAAGATTCTTTTAATAAAAATAATATCAAATTCCATATTTGAATCATTTGAATATAATAAATTTGAATTATATGCATTATATAATGATAAAAAAAATAATATACATGTCTCTCTATTTCATTCAGACTTAATGTTCTTTATCTCGCAATAGTTAAAAAGTGAATGAAGTTATATCTATAATATTATAATTTATAAAAATGATATGAATATATAATACATATTTTATATATATATATATATATATATACTTTTTTAAATAAAAATTTGCTAAACTTCAAACACTCTTTAAAAATATAAATATGCAGCTTAGTTAGGATACAAATCATAGTGAAAATGAATTTGGCAACAGTGTTCAAATACTTCTGTAACGAAATTTTATGAAATATTTATTTTTTAAAATAAATTATTATTTTTGATTTTGGCTAAATAAAAATAAATTTAATATTAAGTATTTTGATCATCATTATATTATATACCAAGTATATAATATACACATAGAAAATACAAATAACATAAAAAAATATTAAATTTCAAAATATTTTAAACAATAGCTTTTCATAAATTCTTAAAATACTACAAAACTATGAAAAAAAAGAAAAAAATATAATATAAAAAGTTTATTTGTACTGATTGCAAATAAAATACATGCAAGTATATTGCTATTATATTGTAAGTACACAAATTTAGATTGCAATTACTGAAATAGTATATATTATCTTATATTATTATTATTATTATTATATGTTATTATATATATAATAATATTGAGATACTATATATATATATATATATAAATGATTTTAATCACTTTCTATTAGAAAACCAATATATTGAACAAATGTGATATTTTTCTCTTTTCTAAACCATAAATGAATATTACAAATAATCATTTAAATTGGTTACAAAACTATAGTAAATTCTACAAAATTTAAATTAGTTTTTTGAATATTTTAATTCAAAAATATTTTTAAGAATAAATATACACAATATTATTTATAATTATTTATTTATTTTTTCAATTTTCAATATGATATTATCAATATACATGTATAAAATAATAATTAAATTATAATTAACATTAAAATTTAGCATTACTACTAATTAATTTAATTTTTTTTTTCTATTTTGTGCGTTTTTCTTATTTGAAATCTATTTTTACATATTATTTTTGCATATTTTTGCATATAAAAGGAAATATATGTACTTGCAAGTTTTATTTTTTACTTTCTTTATTATGAATATTATAAATATGCATAAATTATTATATAAATATATTATGTTGTTATATATACATTATATAAAATATACTGTAGTTATATATTTCTAACATTATATAATAATAATGTTTAAAATTATAAAAAATATGAATCTGAAACTTGAAACAACATTTAAAACTGGAAAATATATAACTTGATATATTTCCATCAAAGTTTGACATGTTTTTAATGTAGAATTGACACAAAGTTTGTATAATATAAACTTTGATATATTTTTTATATATTTTTTCAATTCATTAACATAACTTGATAATCAAATCTAGTACTTAGTAATATTTTAGAACATTTGGAGAAAAATACATAAGAATCCATTGAAAAAAACAAAAAAAAAGTTTGAAAAAAAAATAATATATAATAATATGATATAAATTAAAAAAGATGATTTGTATCAAAGATTTCGAAAATCTAACAAAGAAAAGTAATGGAAATAAAAATAATCATAGAACATTATTTCCTCAAGAAAAAATTATAAAAACCCATATATATTGCAGTAGTTGTTATATTTCAAAATATTTATATTTATATTAATTTTATATATTTATATATTTTATATTATTTTATATATTTATATATTTTATATATTTATATGAACATTTTGTTACAAACAATGATATATAAAATAAATATAGAATGTAAAAATTGCTTAGATCAATAAAATTAAAATATAAGTATTATATTTATTTATAAATATGTTACATACAGTATGTTCGTTTTAGTATTTATTCATGATTATTTCTAAATCTTATCTTAAAAAAATATGAAAAAGTATTTCAAATGAACATTATATGATATCTTGGATATGATAATAACATATTATAATTGTTTGAGACAATGGAAAGAACTGTATGAAGGTCACAATAAATTTTTTACATAAAATTTATATTATTACATATTCTTATAGCTAATATTAAGGTATTTAAAATACTATTTATATATTTTTCATAAGTCAATATTGAATTATTAATTTTTAAATTTTTCACATTATATTATGATACAATAAGTATTAACATTACATTATGAGGAGATTGAATTTTATATATCATGATGGTTCTAAAAAGAATTGATTGTGTATTTATATCAATATCGAATTATAAAAAACAAGAAATTATAGTTCTGACAAGATAATGAGTAGTTCCGGCAAACTTATAAGTTATATAATAAGAAATAATTAAGTGAAAATTTTTAAAATAAATAAAACATAGCAGACTAAAAATTTTATTTTTAAAATATTATTTATAATTAATAAAAATTTTAAATACGCTTATTATAACGTATTTTAAAAATTATAATTTCGAAAAAATTGAAATATTAATAATATTTAATCTATATTTATATCCTTTATTTAAATTTAAATAAAATAATAACAATATATAGTCGTATAAACAAAATTTATTTATATTATTATATTATTATTATAATTATTGATTAAAATAAAATAGTTTTAATAAATTCATTTCTTAGATTTGAGGAAATAAAATATTATGAAATGTATTTATATATATTTATAATATAATTATATACTTTTAATGAATAAAAATTTAAAGATTTTTCAATAAAATTCATACTATATTTTTTTTACAGTATTCATTATTTTGAATTATCTTTTGTCCAATTATATTTTCCTCTTACTTAAATTCAAAGCATCGTTCTTATATACAGAGTATT